AAATAAGTATTTTTTTATTTTTACCTACTTCAATATTTATTGAACATTTTTAATGAGTATTTATTAAATTGGATAAAATAAATATCCGTTTTGTATCTGGTCCATTGTCATCCCTGCTAGCAAACAGCCTCTGCATTGCCAATTGGAGGAGAAAACTCTCGACTCCTCTTAAAAGTAAGACCATAAACAAACTCCATTCTGAAATTTCCAGCTCCCCATTGTGTTTTCCTTGAATTGAAGAAACAATATCTGTTGTTGAGCTATGATTCTCACCGGCCGACTTCTTCCATCTTCCCACAAGAGGAACTGGAGTAGTATTAAGTGCCAGTGCAGGGTTCCAGGCTCTTTAGGGACAGAGTTTGTATTTGCTGGGGCGTTGTATGCAGGTTTTTTCGTGGGGCTGATATGGGTTTTGGTGGGCTGGGAATCAGTCTTTGAAGGGGTGTTATGTGCAGGAATATTAGTGGGGCTGGTTTGGTTTTTGATGGGCTGAAAATCATTGTTGATGGGCTTGATGGGGATTGATGTGTGGGTTATGTATGATGTTCTGTCATCAATGGGCTTTGATGGGGTAGGGGTATGGGTTGGGTTAGAGAACCTGTCATCCATGGACTTGTGTGGGGCTGAGAAATCGGTTGTCTTTGAAAAAAACTTGACCGTGGCCTTTTGAATTCTACTCTCGTTTTATTACGATTTAACAATTTTATATTCATAGTATTAAATTAATTAATTTAAATTTTAAAATATTAAAAATTGAGTAAATGTAATCCAAATTGCTCAATCTCTGTTATGTATAATGGCCAACCTAGTTGACAATTATTTAAAATACTATAACATTCATTCTATTGTTATTAAATACATATATATTTCAAAATATTTTCAACCTTCTAATATTGAATTCTTTTTTTAAAAAAATTCTTATAAAATATTATAAACATTTTTTTTAATAATTTACAAAATTAGGGAGGTCAACTCTAAATTATGCTTATTTTTATTTATAAAATGTTTTTTAACGTCCGAAATTATGTATTGTTAATTATTATTTTTTACAATAATATTTTATAAAAAATAAAAAAAATTTTAAAATTAGGAGGTTAAAAATATTTATAAAATATTTTTTATATATAATTTATCAAATGTATATAATATTTTATAAGAATTTTTTTTAAAAAAAAGTTTAAGATTAGGGAGGTTAAAAATATTTTTTAAATATTTTTTTTAAAAAAATAATCAACAGCAGAATGTAAAATATATATATATATATATATATTATTTTTCAAGTAATAATCAACCTAGTTGAACACATAATAAAAATTGAATAATTTGGATCACATTTGTTCAATCTCTAATATTTTAAAATTTAAATTACGCAATTTGATATTATAAATCCAAAATTATCAAATTGTAATAAAATAAAGGCAAATTTTGTTTTTAAACCGTATTTTAAGCAGGCCATCTTGAGTGAAATCAAAAGAAAGATTACCTGAATCTGGATGTTATTAGAATCCTTCATTAGCGCCCCAAAGTTCTCTGTAACAGCCTTAAGATTTTCAGACAATGAATTATCCAGCTCGCATTCCTTTTCTGGGAGGCTGTCATTTCGGGAGTCAATGAAGGCTCAAGACAATTTCATTAACTTCATCTTTATAGTGTTCATGTTTGATACAGCATTCATGGCCTCTTGGAGAGATTTTCTGATACCCTAGCTCTAAAGTTATCTAAATTGGAAACAGCATTGTTTTTCCTTGGCGAAGCTCTCAGCTAGCCATCATAGCTTCTCATTCTAAGCTCGGGATCGTCTTCATCATCTTTATAATACTCACAATCTTTCAAAGTATGACCATTCTAATATAGCACAAATTTGGCAATCGTTCGTACTTAAATATTTCTTCGTAAGAAATAAATTTTATAGTTTGATATATATATCGGTGCTAACGAATAATCATGAATTTTGTTGTTTCTACAAACAAGCTCCACAGGTTTTTTTTTTTTTTTAGTTGTTGAGAAACATTGTTTTGAAGTTCTAAATTTCCCATTTGTAATTGCAGCACAAAGGAACTTTCGATTGGACTATTTGAAAGTTTTGTTTTGTTTTGTTTTTTCAGAGAATTGAACATTTGCGTTAAAATGAAGAAGGAAAGTCCTTCAATACAGGGGAATCTTCGACCCAAATTCTTGTTGAAAACAAAGATCAGCTAATTTCCCTAAAGCATGAGCAACACTCTTTCCATTTCTTTTCAGACAAGCATTAGAAAAGTAACCAGCAATGGTTAATCCATCTTGAACAATGAAGACAATGTCTCTATGTATGTTCATTCTCCATATTCTTAAGAGTTCCAACCACGTCCAGCCAGTCCATCTCTAGGATGATACCTATCCATGTATCTTTTTTTTTTTTTTTCCCCTAATGCTACACATTTATCCTAAGGTTACCAAAATGAAGTCATTAATTTTTGGAGCATCATTTGAATAAACCCAAGGAATTCCTTTTTAAAACATAAGAGCAGCATGATATGACAGTTTAGGATTTATTATTATTATTATTTTGCTACAATTTCATTTTTGTTACTGGAACAATGCAATCAATCGCTGGATATGATCCAGCCCGTTGGTCAAATTTTGTGATCTGAAGCCTGATAAAGCCTGAAATGTCCAATTAAAGAGACCATTTCTTAACGTACTACAGCTTGGGCTAAACACAAAAAAAGACATGAGACGAAAGCCCATAAAAGAGAGTGAATCATTGTTTGTCCCTCTATTGTTGACATTAGTCAAAGGAGCCCTCCACAATATTTTGGTTCAAATTGAATCCTTTACTATCAATTAAAGGCGATTTTAAACCTTTTAATTTGTATAATTCCGTAAGAACAAAGTACCGTTGGGTTTTTTATGGGCCACATTTATGAGTAGAATAAAAGCAAATATAACAATGATAAAATAATATGAAAATAATTAAAATGTAATATAATAGTTTTTTATTAACAAAACAAAATATAAACTAAAAATCGATGAAAAAAAATATATAATTTTTTTCATATTCAAACATCCTCAAAAATAAAATACCGTAAAGTCATAGAAAAACTCACAAAACTCAAATGCTTTCTCTAATTGCTAAAAGACTATTACAACTTTAAATTCAATTTTTTTCAGAATAGCTTGCCCAATATACCTTAAATCTAATCGTACCAATGGCATAATTCCATGAAATTTTTGTATTTAAACCAAAATTTTAAAATTCAATAAAATTAACATAGCCTAAGATCAAAAGACAAGGGAAACTTTTAGTGTCTTTGTCCATGAAACCAAATTTAGAAATAGGACCCATGATTACTTCCTTTTTATTTTCATCACCTTTATAGAAAATATTAAAATCTTCTTTGTTATACTCCTCAATTTTCCGGCATATGTCATTTAGGTTGCAAGTTTGGTACGAATCCTCACCTACACCAAGCACATTAATTTGCATATCAATATGAAAAAAATTATCATTAGTTATCCTTTTTTTTTTCTTTTTCCTTTAGATTGTCCCAAGGCACCCATAATTCCAGCTTCATTATCATCATTGGGGTCTTGAATTCTGAAAGACTTCTACATAGTCATGCATTCAATTGGCTCTAGAAATTTGCCTGCATCTTTTATATAGAAATCTTCACATATGCTATTCGGTTATTCCCAAAAATAGGCGATCTATGTCTTTTAATTTCTGCCTCTAAGGAAACCAACTTCGAATAGGCATCCTACCTTTTGCTAACAAAGTATTTTGATCTTATTTTCACCATTAAAAAGTTTTCTTTTCCCCCTCAATATGATCTTAACCAATTGCCTCGTCTCCTCTTCAGATTTCACTCTATAATATCTTAATTAGCAAGATTGTCCATAAATTCCTAAACAGTAAAATCTCCTTAAAAAATTGCGACATTAAATCTATCCTACCTGCCCTTTTTATAATAATCTTTAATTGAAATTTTTTCAAAAGCAAGAACTCGAATGATTACGCAACAGCTTGAGTATGAGCTTCTTTCTTAGTCCGACATATATTGTAATCACGACACCTGTACTTGGCACTTAACATCAAGACATTGAGATCTTGTTCAATCCTTATAAAACTTCTATTGGGCTACTCAAAATATGATCAAGCCTCTATTTTAAATGTATGACGCTGTCTTCTGGATTTGTACGTACGATACATCACTTGGTATGTGTCAATAGAATGGTTACTATTAAATGTTCCACCACGATTAATTCCACTTTGATGACGAAGCATATATATAGCAAAAAGACACCGAATTTTTTCGTACTCAATTAAAACCGTAAAAATAAAAACACAACAAAACTATAGAAAAACTTATAAAACTTAATTTTTATTGATCAAATCCTCTCTCTAATTGCCAAAAGGCTGTTGCAACTCTTTAAATAGAAAAACTAGTAAACCTTAACAATACATGATAGAATAAATAAAACAAAATAAAATCTTAGAGCGCAAATCTTCTAATAACACTTGTCTAATTAAATAAAAGATAAAAAATTCTAGAAAAACTTAACAATTAGAGAAAGATTACAATAGAAATAATTATGCATAAACCTATGAAGTATGCTCCTGACATAAAAAATATTGGAATAAAAAAATTAAAAACCACGTAAGAAATAAAAAATAATCTACGCCTGTTTTTCTTTCGAGAATGACAATCTACGGCATTCCTTGGATGTGCACTGTTGACAAAAATAAATAAATAAATAAATAAATAATAAAAAAAAACGTTATTTGACTTGGTGTGTTGCTTGATGATGTTGTTGGTGTCAATGATTCAACGTTGGTTAAGAGGTTAAGAAAATATAACATTGATTAAACCAACAGATCATCTATAGAAGCTGCAGGATTTGACAATTGGCATATGTTGATACTTGCATTCAGATGATTATTCCCACCTATGGAAAGGAAGTTTTTTTGGATAAATCTATGTTATTGTGCAAAGTAGGAGCAAGAACATTTGATCACGAAAATGAATTCTCTGATCAAATTCTCCAATACAATCCTACTGTACTTCCTTGCCCTTCTTGTCATTACTAAAGCACAGGACCCCAATTACCTCCATCATGTTTGCGCTGACACAACCACTTCCACGACTACCTACAAGGACAATTTAAATCTTCTTCTCTCATCACTTGCCTCTAATTCCACCCACAACAATATTGGATTCTTCACCAGCTCTGCAGGCCAGGACCCTGATACTGTCTACGGCCTCTTTTTCTGTCGCGGTGATCTTAGCACTGAGGTCTGCCAGAATTGCGTCGCCTATGCCACCAAGGATATAGTCCAACGTTGTCCAACCAGAAAGGGGGCTCTCATATGGTATGATCCGTGTTTCCTGCGTTACTCGAACAAGACAATCTCTGCACTGGAGGAGGACCCTAATTATTTGTTAATGAATACTCAAAATCAAACAATTGATGTAGACTTCAATAAGTTCTTGGTGAATACTATAAGCACTGCAGCTTCTCAGGCTGTAGATGCGCCAGCAGGTGCAAAGAGGTTTGGAGCCACGAAAGCGAATTATACATGGCAAGACACTTTGTACGTTCTTGTGCAGTGCACACCAGATCTATCTAGCTCTGATTGTAATCAATGTCTTGCGGCAGCTAATTCGAGTTTGCAAGTTTGTTGTAACGTAAAGCGAGGAGGAAGAATCTTGTTACCGTGCTGTAATGTTGGGTTTGAAATGTATCCAAATTACAATGAAACTTATGTCGAGGCTGCCTCAGCACCAACACCTGTAGGTCCTGTACCAAAAGGTAAAAATTCATTTTCTTCTTTCTCACGGCTTGATCTTCGACTCCCACCAAAAATCATCATAGATTATTATCTACCTCTGTACCTTCCTCATAGAAAGTGAAATTTAGAATTTGTGTAATTATCTTTCAAGTAAAACGCAACATGTATTCAATTCTCTATATTGATGTGCAACAAAAACATTGTTGCTGTGCAGGAGGAAAAAGAAACAGAACCTGGATTATAATCGGCGCAACTCTATCGGCAGTTGTAGGAGTACTACTGATCGGTTCTTGCGCTTACTCCTCGTGGAGAAGGAAGAGAGGTGTACAAAAATTCTTGCTGCTACAAAATTAATTGATTACATCCTCTTGGGCCTGGTTATCATCATTCTTGTTGTTATTCTGACTTCTATTATCTCATAATTTGCACTGTAGAGAAATTACAACACAGCCAAGTGATTCAATTACTTGACTTGGAAGGAAGAACAACCGAAGATGACTACTCGAATGCAATTATCCATGGCGATGTGAAATCCCAGGATTCTCCTTTGATCCGGCTAGATGTTGTGCTTGAAGCAACAAAGCAATTTGCTAATGAAAATAAACTTGGTCAAGGAGGGTTTGGCCCAGTGTACAAGGTAATAATCATGGCTATGAAATCATTTATTTGATTGGTAGCTGTACTGATTTGAAAGAAATGTCAATTTTTGAAAGGCAAATTCAACTTTCAACATGTATTTTGATTGTTACGAAGAGATATTGCTTTTTTTTTTTTTTTTTTAACATCGAATATTTATTGCTTACTAATTTGAAAAATGTGTACTTTCAGGGTATAATGGAGGACGGTAAAGAAATAGCAGTTAAGAGGCTTTCAAGAACTTCCGGTCAAGGATTAAGGGAGTTCATGAATGAAGTCACTTTAATTGCCAGATTGCAACACAGAAATCTTGTCAAACTCTTGGGATGCTGCCTAGAAAAACATGAAAAGTTACTTATCTATGAGTACATGCCCAACAAAAGTCTCGATGTCTTTCTCTTCGGTTAGAATCTTAAACTTCAATGAACCTGCTACTGTATTTTTTTCCCCTAGTTGTGAGGTAATTGTGCACCTCTTAAGGGCCATTGTAACTGCTGATATTAGAGAATAACTTTTTTTTTTTTTTAACTAATAATATAAACCTTTTTGTTGAAATAAAAATAATTCTTGGTCATCAACCACCCCATTTTCAATGGTAAGGCTGTCACGCGTTTGTTTGTCTTCATGAGGTCTCATGCCAATCCTCATTGTTTTTGAGGGACTATATAGCACATTTTGATAGGCCTTTGTTGATTATTAGAAGTTGGTGCTCTGTAATTTATATATGCTGCTCTCTTTTCTAGTCACCCACTGATGTGGGAATTCAGTCTCCAACGAAGGTAACTAATTTGAAGTTTGTGTTGATGTTTCTCAGATTCTACTAAGCGTGCGCAACTTGATTGGCAAAGACGCCTAAGCATTATCAATGGAATAGCTCGGGGGCTTTTGTATCTGCATGAAGATTCACGTCTCAGAATTATTCATAGGGACCTCAAAGCCAGCAACATTTTGCTCGACTATGAGATGAATCCAAAGATATCGGACTTTGGAATGGCCAGGATTTTTGGTGGAGATCAAAGCGAGGCCAATACAAACAGAATTGTTGGGACATAGTAAGCATTACTGTCCATTCTCCCTTCAAATATATTACTGATGCTTCTCAGATTCCTCTTTCAGGCTCGGATATTCTTTTAAAATTAAAAGTTCCAAGAAAGATAGGCACCATAATTTTGACCATATACTGTGAACAAATCATTGTTTTCCAAGAAAAAACCTTCATAACATTCACATGCATCTAAATTAATTTATTTCTTTTCATATTTGGATTCAACAGTGGATATATGGCCCCTGAATATGCTATGGAAGGAATATCTTCTGTAAAGTCAGACGCATTCAGTTTTGGAGTTCTCATGTTAGAGATAATTAGCGGGAAAAGGAACGGCGGTTTCCATCTTTCAGAAGAAGGGAGAAGCCTACTCACTTATGTATGTTCCTATCCATATATTTCTTCCAAGGACAGATAGTCTTCTATGTTTATCAATTAACAGCCTAATATTAATTCAGGACATGTTTGATATTTCAGGCATGGAAGCTGTGGTCCGAAGGTCGAGGACTCGAGTTGATGGACCCATTGCTAGAGATGTCAAGTGTGGCAACCGAGGTGCTGAAATGCATCCACATTGGGTTTTTGTGTGTGCAAGAAGACCCAGCAGATAGACCCACAATGTCATCTGTTGTTTTTATGTTGGCAGGTGATAACTTAACACTTCCTACTCCTAAACAGCCTGCATTTTCTGTTGGGCGAGTTGTTGGGGGAGAAACATCGTCATCAAATCAGAAAGTGTCTTCTGTTAATCAGGACACTCAATCTATTGTATCACCACGGTGATGCGGTGCAAATTTTGTTTTTCCGCTTAACAAAGTGGAACTGTAGATAGTAGTAGCTATTCAAAATTTTCAAAACGATACTACCTTCGTTTGGGAGGATAGGGCTGAAAGATTTCAACAAAGGGAATTGCCTAATTCCTAAATATATTGCACAGTGTATCCCCTCACTGATTTTTTCAAATAACCTAGCAAAAGAAGCATTGCTAGTAGCTTCTATTTCCAATTTTTGTAGAAAAATTATCCTATCTCATTTCTGTGAAGCCAAAAATCAAAACATTTGGTGTGTTATAATTTTGTATAATAAGTGCAGCAGAAACTGCGAAGCCTATGACTATAAACTATAACAACTGAGGACGGAGAGGTGGGTGAGGAAGGTGAGTGGTGAGGATTGGGTGGCTGTGTTGTTGAGACAGAAGCAACTGCGGGCTGCGGCTGCAAGAATGCTTGAAAGTTGAAATGACAAGTTTGCGTCATAGGGTTAAGACTTAGGTTTTTTTTTTTTTTTTCTTTTGTCTTTAAATACTTCGGTTTTCTGTTGAAATGGAACTAAAGTTTTAAAAATCTGAATTAAACCGAAATAATTTTAATTTTTTAATTTAGTTTTTTAATAAAAATTTTAGTATTAGACTTAAGTTCATTTGATTTAAAAGGAAGAACAACGTTCACCCAAACGTTAAACGAATTCTAACGTTCTCTTAATACACAAAATGACGAAATTATTTTTGATTGATTGATGTAAGAGCTGGTCCTAATTGAATTTGGATGTCAAGATTCATTGAATGAATTTATTGTCAGGCTGAGGAGGATTGATGTGAAACCAAGTCAGCTGACAGGACCATCCATCGGCTTTTTGCAGCCATTGATAAGGTCAAGCAAAGTGCCGTGCTTAAGCTTGATTAGGGGATTTAGAAAGAAAGTGTCTTTGAATCATGCACTTTTCTGATCATATAGATCAGTCAACCCATCAAGAAACAAGAATTCTAAATCAACGGAGCCACATCAAATATCTTATTTTAATTCATTAATTTTTGGTGGTTGTTTTATATCATGACTAGTTTTCTACGTACGTAACCACTGAATTGTGACTTGGTAAGGAAAAAACAAAAGGAAAAGAAAAAAAGAAAAGAAAAGAAATCATTTGCTAAATGAATGCCATGTATGGTTTTTTGAATACGCAGATAAAAATAGGTGATCAAGCAGTTTTTGAATATGTATTTTATTACTTGAACATATTGAAGATTGAAAACGATAGAAAGAACTAATTACTCCAAGAATTTTTTTTCACTTTTGAGTTTTAATTATGAAGGTTAATTTAGTTCATCTTATGATGTAAAACAAAGAAGAAAAACATTAATGGACAAGACTGATCAGTAGAAACTCAAGCAGCAGGACCACAAGCCCAAAACAAATACCTAATTTTAAACTTGGTAACTTTTGATATGGATTGAGCTATGGGCTTGGCAAGTGGTCAATGAAAAGCTTATCTAGGGAAAAGAGAGAGAGAGAATACAATTTATTTAATCAGGATCTTTAAAAAAATTACGGCAATTATCATTGCTTTGCTTGATTATCATTGTAGGCATTAATTCAAGCATTTATTATGATAAATCAAGATAATTAAATTAGAAGGAAAATAAGTTACAACGTCATTCTCAAAGAAGATAAAAGCAATTGAAACAGTTACAATTTCATTCTCAAAGAAGGAAAAAAAAGGTCACAACCTACGTTACAATCGTTCTTGTCCGTAGACACCAAAATAATAGCTTCCAGCTGTCAAGACGGCCTTATAAATTGCAGCAGCTTCTTCTCTAGCCATTATAAAAATTTTGAAAAATGGTGACAGATTATTTCATTGCTATTTCTCATAAATCTATCACTAAAATGATAGTCGTTATTTTTTTAATATTAATTTTTTTTCTGTTGTTATTTTATTGATTTTTCGTTGTTAAATCATTCTAAATCGGTTGTCTCTAACGTCTCGTATTCGTTATTAACCGTCGTTATTTTCACTTATTTTCATTGTTAAATAATAACGAATTGTGTGGTTGTTATTTTTCAGTCGTCAATATTCTCACAATCCCATTGTTATTTCCGTAGCTAATTTTATTTTTTTAATAAATTATCATTTATTGATAATTATAACAACAAACAAATAGAAACATCTTATTAAAACTCAATATATCATGAAATAAAATTAAAATTGTAATAATTAAAATAAAATAAATATATAAATGAGTTAAGATGTACAAAAATATTGAGAAATTTTTTTAAAAAATAAAAAAAATTTAGTCCTCATTTATGACCATCTCCTAAATCATCTTCCAGCTATTGGTTGTTAAGAGGAACGAGTAACTACTTTGTTGTCAAAGGGTTAACAAGAGAGACGAAAGGCATCGAAGGTTCTCTAATAACCCACAATCTCTCTACAAGCTGAGTCCGCATGTTTTCAACTTTATTGACTCGTTGCTAAATGATATCCTCCATTCCTTTGATCCGATCTTCGTACCTGGATAGAAACCTCTTGGATATTACCCCCGGAATACCGCAAAGTGACAAAGAAGGAGCCGACATCGAATGTGAGTAACATTGGGATGCATAAGTTTCGATGTCATATACTCTCTACTTCTTCTCCCCTTCGAAAGCATCTAAATATATCTTGAACATTTTGATATCTAGAGCCGATGAATCACTCTCTTGTCGCTCCTTGACAGTACTTTTTGCATTGATTACACACACTCCTAAGTCATTGAAATAATAATAATATTAAATTATAAATATATTTCTTAAATTATAGTGATAGATGTGCATATATTTAAAAATATATATATATATCAAACCTTACCATTACTATCTCGCGACCGCATGTCAACGAATGTCTCATCCTTTCGCTTATGAATGGTCATGAGTAGCTCGTAAGACTTTGGATTATGATCCAATTTATGATGTTGAACAAATAAACAAAATAATATAAGATGAAATAAACAAAAAAAAAATTATTATACAATGGATAATATAGTACTTACTAAACTCTCAACATGCTCGATCAAAGAAATGGACCCTCTAGTATATTTGGATGGACTAGCACCAACTCTATCCATCTCCAACAAGCGATTTTAAGATGCCTATAAAGATTGAGTCCGATACTCGAAAGTGGCTCAATCTCGATGTCATGCTTCTCACACCTCATGTTTAACAAATGCATGTGTCTTATCCTTATTCTTCAACTTGTTGAGTATGTCGTCTTACCATCTTCGTGACAATCTCTATCATGCATCCTTAAACGAGTGCGTCGATGGTTGCATCCCACAAAAAATAATTTTACATGAAAGTAAAAATTAATATTATTATTTTTTATATTAAATTAATACTTTAGCAATGGAAAGTCTAGAGTAGTTTTTGAAATCATATTTAATGATGAAAATTGATTTGTCACTAATAATTAATTGAAAATCTATCTCTATTCTATCGCTAAATGTAACAAAAGCTAATATGATACTAGTTAATTGTTATTTAAGGACGATTTAAATTCTGTCACTAAAATCTGTTGCCATTTCGTAAATTTCTTGTTGTGAGCTACTCAAATGGATTAGCTTATAAAATCCGAATCATCAAATGTTATGGGTACTAGGCTTCACCAAGTTGATGCAGTAGACCTTGGAGGCTGTACGTATAACATTTTCAATTCAATCTACGTATTTTTTTTTACAATCGTCGTCTTAAAAACAGTCCTTTTCATTCATTTCATATATTTTTTCAAAATTTATTTTGTTGTTATTTTTTTTTAATGAAATAGAAAAAGAAAAAATAGATAATATAGAAAGATGGATTAAAAAATAAGGTATTTTTTTGTATAAAGAAATATTAAATAAAATATCGTCAACCTTGATTAAGGGACTAGTTATTAATGGACGATTTAATTCATTTTACAGGGTCTAGTTATTAGTTTTTCAAACTAAATGGACAATTTAATTCGTTTTACAAAACTAGAAGAACTAACTTATAATTTACTCAAGGGAGCCCATTAAGTCGGAAAATAATGATAACGCAATAATCGATTGATTAAGTAATTAATTAAACACTAAATAAAAATTTTTGGACAAGTAACATAAACCTTACCGAAAAGGGTTAGGACATACGAGAAAATAAGCAGAGGATTTAGGAACATCCAAAAGAATATAACAATGCAAAGATTGGAATATTCTACGTCGAGATCCACCTCGTTTTGGTTCCTCTCCACAAATATATAAACCTCTCTCCAGTCCATTCTCATCACAACAGTAATCTCCAAAATCCCTTCTATATCCCACCCCTTTTTGTTATTTTCTTTAGCTAATTACTTATGGCTCTTAAAGCTGTTCATGTCTCTGATGTTCCTAATCTTGACCACGTCCCAGAAAATGCCTCTCTTTCTCTCTACTCAACTCGTTTCTCCAAAGGTAAATTGCCAAAAACAGAACGTTTTTTTATTGATTCTTGGAGTTATGTGAAAATTCCTATTCCAAAATTGAAATGTTACCCTTTAATCTACCAAAGCCAAATGTCAAAGTCTGGATTCATCATTGCATCTATTGTGATATGAATTGGAGCTAGGGTCTTGTATTTTACAGTGGTTGAGAAAGAGAGAAGATTGATGTTATCATCTGCTTGCCATTGTAATTTTTTAGTTTTACAAACTTGTCCTGAATTTTAAAACTTCACAACCAAATCCTTAATTCATATTCAAATCCTGAACTAGCCCTTCATAATTCCAGTTCTTGACCATTGATCCCAACGTGGGAGTTGATTTATTCATGATTTAGTTGACTTTCTCATTTTTACATTTTGTTCAGTTGGCATGCAAGGGAAATAAAAATTAAAAAATTAAAAAATTAAAAAAAAGCGGCTTAACTTAGAGTAAATTATAAATTAGTCCCTCCTGTTTTGAGAAAAGAATTAATTAATCCCTCTTGGTTTAAATATTAATTATTTAGTTCTCATATTTTAAAATTTATTTATAATTTAATCATTTTTGTTATTTTTTAATTTATTTTGATTTTTTTTAAGAAATAAAAAAATAGTTGAGAAAATAATATTAAATTAAATATAGTCAATATTGATTAAAAAATTAAATAATAGTTTTTGAAAAAAAAAGAGAGACTAATTAGTTTATTTTTTGAAACTAGAGAGACTAATTTATAATTTACTCCTTTTATCCTCACTCTTTTCTCTCTTTTTTCTTCCTGCTTTTTTTTTTTTTTTTTTTTAAAAAAAGATAGAAGAAAACTTCCCTTCATGGTGCTAGAAGGAGAGCCTACATCTCTGCCTTCTTGGCTCAATGTTGGGCTTCGATATTGTGAAAGGAATATGGCTTTCCATCCTTCTTTTTCTAGTTGTCATTTGTCGCTGGCTGCAGCACGAAAGGGGATGGTGCAGGATGATGAAAGAAAACCTTTTTGTGCATAATTTTGGCTCAAAACTTTATTGATAAAGAAGGGCCTATTTATAGGCTAATGCACCTGCTATTTCTCTTACAATTCAGCACCTAATTCCGGGAATCCAAGAAAGAGAAGAATTGACAACGACCTCACAGGGAGGCAAGGCCTAACAGCTAACAAACTAACAGACTGTTGAAAGCAAGAAAAAGAAGAAGCAAATACAAAGTAGAAATCATCTGGGAGTGAAAATGTGAATGGGGCCCAGTGTAGCCCAGTAGCCTCGATGGCAAGTACAGCCCAGTAGCCTCAATAGATACAGCCCATATCATTTTATTTTAGTTTTGTAAATAGCCCATGTATAGAGACCAAACTGTGCAGGGGCTTCAATTCAATATTTGAGCACGTTTCTCTACTTCCATATCTGATTGTTTCTGCTCTTTACCTCCACCTGATTCATCAAGAAATGTGTTTATTGGCTAAACATAAGGCAGGTTGAGAGAGCGGATGAGATGTAGAGTGGAGCTATCTTTTGCATGGTTTGTGCCAAGAATAAAGAGAAGGATGGGGAGTGCATCAACGGAGAGGACAAGGATTGTCTTGGCCTCTTATGGGAATGAAAGGCAGCCGAAAGAAACGAACACTACCAGAGGGAAAAAAAAAAAAAAAAGGGAAGCGCAGGCTTGAGGTAGGGGATGATGAATTGTGCCCTAATTCATATGAAACGGCCTCGTTCTGTTAAGTCTGGGCACACAAGTTGGTCGCTATATTTTAGGGCCTTTTGCAAATTTCATCCTTTCTCCTCGTTTTTTCTTCAATTACACCCCTGTGTCTGTCAAATTCATTTTTTTTTTCATTTTTTCAGTCTTCTTTCTTTTCGATTCTCCTCAGTTGTGTCCTGATTAATTAATTTCTTTCTTTTTTAAAGTGTATGGGATTTTAGTTTCTTTTCTTGATCTTTTTCTACTGGTTTTATTCTTTTTGCTTCTTCTTTTTTTCCCTTTCTTATTGTTGGGTTGCTATTGTTTAGAAAATTTTCTTTCAATTTCCTTCTGGCTTTTCTAATCTTCCTTTTTTTTTTTTTTCAAAATTAAGAACAATACCAACATGCTCTAAATTAGGAAAATTTATCAGGATCTAAAAGTCACCAAATAAGGAAAAATGAGCAACATATAATTTATTTTTTTTTAATTTAGTGTGTGTGATTTTTATTTATTTATATATAATTTTCTTTCAGTTTTTTTTACTAATAGCAAGAACAATAAAATTAATTTGAGATTATTATTATTTCAGAAATACTGGATATTATTACTAATAAAACTATATAACTATACAGCTATATATAATGATTTTAAGCAAAAATATACTCCAATATAATATAGTTTTAAAATGTTTCTAGGAAAAACATTATTAGTAATTAAATATTAAATTTATGATATAGTAGAAATTTAGCTAATTTTTTCCTTTATGTTATAAGAAGATACATATATTTTAAGAATTATATATATATATATATATATATATATATATATATATATATATATATATATATATATATAAAAGAAAATAAATGATATAGAAAAATAAACATCACATAGAAGTCATTAATTATATTTTAAGAATTATAGATAAACTTAGGTAATTTAACTTGTTAAGCAAGTTAACACATGATTAGTTCTTAATGTCTTGAACAGTTTATTTTTGAAACAGTGGGTACATTGCATCAGAGTATGCAATGGAGGGACTGTACTCAACCAAATCTGATGTTTTTATAATGTGTTCGAGAAGATGTTAGATACAGACCTACTGTGTCATCAGTTGTCGTAATGGTGAAAAGCCAAAATTCACTTCTTCCCCACCCTAAACGGCCGATGTTTGTGGGCAGATTCATGGACAACGAGGCGGCAGATGCTAGCCATTTCTCTGTCAACGAAATGACACTTTCTGATACTGTTCCACGGTGCTGAAACAATAAATTAAGTGTGGCAGATCACTTCAATATCCTCTGGATTTATCAGATTGAAACGATTTGATTGGTTGGGATAGTATATGTGAACATCATTTGTACTTGGTAGTGGATCCTCCACTTTGCTTATTGGATCCAAAAATATTTTTCTTTTGTTGTATTAGTAATGGAGTTACAAAAAAATTAAGAATAATCAAATATGAGATCTCACTCCTCTTGTTGCAATTTATCATGCAATATCTTTAATCCTAGCTTGTTATTAAGGTTTTAGTAATCATGAAAAAGGGATAAAGAGAATGAAAGTTATTAGATTGTGGGATTGATTTGATTCATTAGGTTTGATGGGAAATCCTGAAACAGACAGGAAATCCATGAATAATAATAATAATAATAAACAAAAATACAAAGAAGAAAGGACTTGTTGTGGTCAATAAAACTATATTGGATAATTCAAGCTGAGATTTGACAGGACTGACGAGCAGGGTGTAATTTCCAGGAAGGTCCTGTCGACGTAATTTATTAAATGGTAACTTAGAATATTACACTGAATTTAACGTTATTTGACCTAAACCAACAGTTGTAGCATATTTTCCACCAAGACAGAGACAAAGTTTCATTAGCAAACAGAAATAGGATCGTTGTGATTCACTAATATTCCATCAAACAACGCAAAGACTACTGCTACGTTATACAAAAGTCAACTTAATGATGTATGTTCTTGGATATTAACTGCCGGCTTAGGAGAAGCAAGAACAACTTCTCTTCAAATTAAGTTAATTAGTCAAGCCCGCAATTAATTAAAAACATACATTATTAAGTTGACTAATCTATAAATTAGTAATAGTCATCTTGATGAAATAGTTAATCATAATGATCTTATTGCTGTTTGCTTACGAAACTTTGTCTGTGTCTTGGTGGCACATTGGTTACAACTGTTGGTTGAGATCAAATAACATTAAATTGAGGTACCATCCAATGTCGTGGGTAAAGAGGTGAGAGAAATGTTTTTAATTTATGTTCGATTTTCAGTATTAGAAAAACTCATTTTTTCTCTTTATTGACTGTCGATGAACTCAAAAAATCTATCTTTTTGAATCGATCAAAAGCTATACATAATTTAGCGCTTATCTAGTTTAGAAAGTGAAAAATACTTAGTTTTGACTGAAATAAAAACTAACTTAAAAATACTGTATTGCCTACAAACGTAGAGGAAAAAAAAAAAAAAAATCACATTCAAGTAATATTCTAGCTAACATTCATAAATTATGTACACGGGACCTTCATGGAAATTGCACCCTATTCATCGTTCCCTATCAAATTTCACTTTATTTATTCAATATAGTTTTGTTGACCACAGCCAGTCCTTAATTTTTTTTTATTCTTTTCATATATATATATATATATATATATATGAAAAAAAATACAATGGTGGATTAGGATGTTACACTGTCTTATAAACTGAATTACTTTTTTCAGAGCAGAGCATTTGGATAACTTGGAGGACGATACCCCTAGCCACTTTCATTTTGATAAGTCATAATTATCACTTTCGACAATTTTACAGATAAGGTAAACCTTTGATTTCTTTTCAGCTACTTTCTCTGATTTTAAGCCCGTATTCTTCCTTGAAATTGCGCATTAACTGAACTGATGGAGACCCCATCATTGAATGCTTTGTGTATATATGATCTCCACTAGAAGAAATTTGAGATGATTCATGATCACTAGCATCTAATCAGTACTCAAAAGACAAGATATGGGTGATAGTTTTCCAAATTTTGCAAAAACCACTCAATTGCTTTTGCAGTGTTTTTTCATCGCCAACCTTCTTGATCTTGCTTATGCTGATCCTCCCTACAAAGTTTGCTCAAACATTTCTAACCAGGCAGCTAATAGTTCATTTCAAAACAATCTTAAGAGCCTCATGTCCTCTCTTCCTTCAAATGCTTCTGCTTCAAAACTTTACAATATCTCTACTGGAAATGACCTTGAGAGAGTCTATGCTCAATATATGTGCCTCAACTATGTAACAAATGAAAGCTGCAGTACTTGCATAGGTGTAGCGTCACAAGATATCATGCAGCTTTGTCCAGAAGATAAGGAAGCAGTTGTATGGGAAGAGCTATGCCAATTGCGCTACTCGAACCAAAGTTTCTTAGGCCACTTGGATGTCTCAGGAAACATTCCCCTAGATAATAAAAAGAATGTTGAAAATCCAGAGCAGTTTAGAGTGATAGTCAATGAAACTTTGAGTAGCCTTACCGAGCAGGCAGCTTTTAATGCTTCAGAAGCTATGTATGCTACTGGCGAAGTAGTCTTCACCAATACTGACACACTCTATGCCTTGGTGCAATGCTCAACAGACTTATCTCCGGATGACTGTAGCACTTGCCTTCGGGTTGCCATAGCAAATATTTCGAGTTGCTGTTATGCTTCTCGTGGAGGACGGGTTCTTAGCCGCAGTTGCTATCTAAGGTATGAGTTATACGCCTTCTATGAAGGTGCGAACGAATCGGCAGAAAGTCCGGTTGCAGGAAAAAGTAAGTATTTCTGTCAATTACATCACTGGAAATAGCTGGTATACTTTGTGTTTTTACACTGGAGAATTACACTTTTTGTGCTAAAAACTATTTGTTTTTTCCAACTGAAGGCAACCGAAGAAAAATATGGATGATTATCATCGTTACAGTTGCATCAGCACTTCTTGTGGCAGTAATCCTGGGCTCCTACATATACTGTCTTGCGATGAAAAAAGGTATTCAAAAATGTAAGAATGCTTCTTGTAGAAATCACAGACATTGTATTTTTTTTATTTTCATTTTAATACCAATTGACAAATGAATCTTGTTATACAGAGACGAAAGAAAATACAAGACAAGATGGTAAATGTCATGGGATTGGTCACTCAGACCTCAATGATTTCCAGATAAGAGGTTTTCATAGAGATGACCTTATTGATCGGGAATCTCCATTTATGGATTTAGCATCCATATATGCAGCTACTGATAACTTTTCTGACTCAAATTTGCTTGGACAAGGTGGTTTTGGCCCTGTTTATAAGGTAAAAGAAATATATTTCCTAGATTTCCAGGTTCAAATTTACATTTCGTGGTATAGAGAATAAATAAACAGAGGTTTTACTAATTTCTTGATTTATATTTTCCAAGGGCATACTGAGTGATGGAAAGGAAGTAGCAGTGAAGAGACTTTCAACTTGGTCTGAGCAAGGCACTAATGAGTTTACAAATGAAGTTATTCTAATCATGAAACTTCAGCACAAAAATCTTGTGAAGCTGCTCGGTTTTTGCGTTGATGGAATGGAAAAGCTTCTGGTGTATGAATTCATGCCTAACAGCAGCCTCGACGTTTTCCTCTTCGGTTAGTTTTCTTTAATGTTTTCCATCAGAAATTTCTATTCATGGATGTTTAGAAACGATTTTCTGATTTTTTTTTCAATTACTGAATATGAAGGTAGAACTAGCTAATTCATATCCACCGATTTTGATTTAATTTTAGATCCAAAGAAACGAGCACAGCTCGATTGGCGAACACGAATTGGTATTATAAATGGAATTGCAAAAGGAACTCTTTATCTGCATGAGGATTCTAGGCACAGAATCATTCATCGAGACCTGAAAGCTAGCAATATCTTGCTGGACAAGGATATGAACCCGAAATTTCTGACTTTGGAATGGCAAAGATGTTTGCAAGCAGCGAAGGCGATGCAAATACTGCTAGGATAGTTGGAACATAGTAAGTGCTGTTTCTCTGATTTTTTTGGTTTCTGGGAACACATGGGATCTGTTTGATACATATACTCATTGTTTTCACGATTTACTTATCATTGCTGAACTTTTCTTTTCCTCTTTTGTGGAATAGTGGATACATGGCACCAGAGTATGCAATGGAGGGACATTACTCAACCAAATCTGACGTTTTTAGTTTTGGTGTTCTTCTGCTTGAGATCATAACTGGAAGAAAGAATTCTGGATTCCACAAATCAAAACGTGCCCCTAGCCTCATAGCTTATGTGAGTTTACTCGGCGTAAAATACAGTTATTTTTTCTGACACTGATAAAACTGTTTAACTAAGTACACCTCTAAATGATGAATCAGGCATGGCAATTATGGATTGAAGAAAATGAACTAGAGTTGATAGATCCGCCGATTGTTGATTCATGCTGTTCGGATGAATTTTCAAGATACATGCATATCGGTTTATTATGCGTTCAAGAAGATCCTTGCGAAAGGCCTACCATGTCATCTGTTGTTTTAGTGCTGACAAGTGAAAGTTCAACTCTTCCCCAGCCTGAACGACCGGCATTTTCTGTAGGGAGATTCGCTGACCACTGTGAGGCCAACGCTAGTAATTTTTCTGCCAATGGTTTAACAGATTCTGATATTTCGCCCCGGTGATGAAGCCGATCAATGAGGTGTAAAAAATTCTGACATTCACTGAAGCCTGTCCTGCACTGTATTTTAAGGCGTTAGCCGGTTGGGTATTTTGCATGTTTTATTTACCTGGAGCATATATTGCTCAATCAATTCTAGAGGACAATCCCTCACCACCCTCTTGTTCTGTAAATATGAATGCTTTCTATTCCAGTGTCTATCTTGAACATTTAAACAAGAAAAACTTGCAACGTTTCCTCTTGATCTGCCAAAAAGATCATCGAGATTTTTTTCTTGATGAATGAATAAAAATTTTGATAATCGAAGTAACTGAATTACAGAGAATTTGTAACAAAAGCAGTATTTTAGCTGCTGGGAACTACAACAAGATAACTTTAAACTTCATTTACAAGATTCCAATGTTGAAAAAGTAAACTGCAGTTAGGATCTTGCAAAGCGTCAAGCATCCCCCTAGTACTCTTGAATCTTCTTTGTACCACCAGAATAATATTCTTCAGAATATTGTCACTCCTACCTGCTGCAACGTTATGAATCCTTTCATTTCTGTTTTTCTAGACAAAATAAAAATATCAGCACCAAGCAATTCTCAAAAGCATCCTGCATGTTTAGACAAACATACATGTGGCTTATGGAAAATACCTAAAAAATTATTTTGGGATTTTTCATTGTGTTCTTCAATCCAATTATGATTTAATAGTTTTATATAACTCTAGTATGACTTATTAGAGTAATATTATTTTGTATAATAATTAATAAAAATATCTAAAACAAAATTAAGAAGCATTGTACGCACACTGGTTTACCCAGACATTTTCGTGAATTTCAAAACTTTTTAGGAGTATTTTATACGTTGCCTTATAATGATATTTTCGTTAATTTCAACACTCGTGTGGCATTTTGTATACTACCTTATATATATATATATATAACTTGATATAATTTTTTTTAAAATAATTTATCTATTCAGAAGGACTGAACATGTATGGCATCGAAATTAAAAAAAGAAAAATTCATGTGTTTTATTTATTTCTTCTTTATATAGTCAAAATTTATCAAAATTATTTTTTTAATAATTTTTTTTTAATCTATAAATTTTAAATTTGTTCAATGTATTCCTTGTAAGTAAACTTTTTTTAATATCTTTTATTTTATATCGCAGACTCTAAATCCAATTAGTGTATTATAATGTAAATATAAAAAAATTAAATAATTGGTTTTTATAAAAATCAATATCCAACTATCAAAATAATAAGCATTTACTATTTGTTTATTTATTTATTTTTGGATATTTTAAATCAATTTCTTTCAAATTAACTATATGAAATTATGTTTTTGCATAACTACCTAATGATTCAAATATAATTTTTATTTTAATATTATTTATTTTTTTGTGAATAAATATATAAAAATTATAAAAATCAAATATACATATTTTCAAAAACTACTATTCTCATCAATATTGAACAAAAATCAAAAATAATTTTTTTATTTGTTTATTTTTATGTTAGTTTTTATATTATTTGTTATTTTATTTTTTCGACATAATCTTACGAAATACTAAGGCTTATATATATTATATTGAATTCTATTTTTGCTTAAGAATCCATGAATACTGAAGAATTAATCATTTTTTAAGTAGAAAAAATTAGGAAATACGTAAAAAAGAAATAATTAAATATAAAATTTAATTAAAATATTATATATATATATATATATATATATATATATATATATATATATATATTTATGAACTCGTAACTTAAAATAGAACATTAAACTGAAATAATTTCATCAGTTTTATTTAATCCAAAGCAAAACTAGTAAATGTTATTTAAAAATATTGTTTTATTTTTGCTTTCTTACCTACAAATCCTAATTTCGCTTTTGTTTTGGATTGAAAGTTGTTGTTAGTTCATATACGTAAGTTCCACATTGATTGACAAAAAAGAAAGTAGATAGCTTATATACCATAATGTCTTTATTTGTGACCTAACAGTTTAGATTTATTCATCAACCAGCCTGTCCTGTTGTTGGATGCGTACATGAACCTTAGTTTCTTGACGCATTCCTGGAAATTGCAACTACGAGGATCGTGACAGAGATTCTTTGAAATTTGCTTCCCGTTTGTCACTGTTGATGTCTTGACAATGATGATAATCCCTAAACCATACGCAAAGCAAGTCAGCAGCTTCTTGCACATGGGCCCCATCATAAGTATAATAAAGATGGGACCAAATGAGACAAAAAAACAAACTAGCTGAAACGAATCTTATAGCTGAACGGGACTTCATTACTTTATACGTTAATAGTTCGGAATGCACCTCAACTGTTTCGTTTGTTTCAATCATATCTTTTATTAAATTTTTTTATTAATTTCATCTATCTAATATTTTATTGCATCTTAATTTTTGTCCTTTCATCAAATTTTCAGATAATAGCATCAATTTTCATAACAAACACACAAGATATTGACTTATGGTAATTTTTTTTCTAAAAAATCCCAAAATACCTTTCTATTTTTTTGCTTTTTGCTTTCCCTCAACTAAAAACAAAAAAAGAAAAATTTTTATGTATAGCAGGAACAAAAGCAATTTTTTTTTTATTTCAAAAATTTATTTCAAATTCAAACCCAAAAAAATTATTTTATAATTTTTTTTTCATAAAATAGAAAGGAATAGAAGCAAACTACAAAAGACAAAGAAAAGAAAGAGCATTTTGGTTTTTTTTTTTTTAAAAAAAAAACTATATGTCAACATCTTATGTGTCTTAGAAATTGACGTTATCTGAAAATTTCGACGAAAAAACAAAATTTAGATGTAAAATAATAATAAAGAAACGGAATTAATAAAAAAATTTAATAGACAGATAAGATTAAAACATACGAAATAGTATAATGATATTTTGAAACATTAACCCGTTGCTATATTTTCAGGCTCAACTTTGAGCCTTTGCTGGTAAGTTGAGCTAAAGAATATGGGTTAGCTTAAGACTTTTCTTTTTCGCAGCTCTTGCTTAGGTCAAGCTAAATTAATACTCCACTAATTACTTGATTTTGGGATTTTAAAAGAAAACCTTTGACTAAAATATTTATGAGATTACATAATCCTAATAAGAATTGAGAATTCAAAATCATGGATCAGGTCAACGTTCAAGAAAGAATTGCTCTTAAAAAAAAATAAAAGAAAAAATTAGTCCTTATAAGAGAAGTATAATAATTTAATTGTCACTTCAATTTTTCAAACTAATAAACAAATATTTTGTTAACAAAGTCCTTTTTGATTGGAATAAAAACTAACTTAAAAATACTGTATTGCCTATAAACGTAGAGGACAAAAAAAAAAAAAAAAAAAAAATCACATTCAAGTAATATTCTAGCTAACATTCATAAATTATGTACACGGGACCGTCATGGAAATTGCACCCTGCTCATCGGTCCCTATCAAACCTCACTTTATTTATTCAATATAGTTTTGTTGACCACAGCCAGTCCTTAATTTCTTTCTTTTTTTATTCTTTTCATATATATATGAAAAAAAATACAATGGTGGATTAGGATGTTACACTGTCTTATAAACTGAATTATTTTTTTCAGAGCAGAGCATTTGGATAACTTGGAGGACGATACCCCTAGCCACTTTCATTTTGATAAGTCATAATTATCACTTTCGACAATTTTACAGATAAGGTAAACCTTTGATTTCTTTTCAGCTACTTTCTCTGATTTTAAGCCCATATTCTTCCTTGAAATTGCGCATTAACTGAACTGATGGAGACCCCATCATCGAATGCTTTGTGTATATATGATCTTCACTAGAAGAAATTTGAGATGATTCATGATCACTAGCATCTAATCAGTACTCAAAAGACAAGATATGGGTGATAGTTTTCCAAATTTTGCAAAAACCACTCAATTGCTTTTGCAGTGTTTTTTCATTGCCAACCTTCTTGATCTTGCTTATGCTGATCCTCCCTACAAAGTTTGCTCAAACATTTCTAACCAGGCAGCTAATAGTTCATTTCAAAACAATCTTAAAAGCCTCATGTCCTCTCTTCCTTCAAATGCTTCTGCTTCAAAACTTTACAATACCTCTACTGGAAATGACCTTGAGAGAGTCTATGCTCAATATATGTGCCTCAACTATGTAACAAATAAAAGCTGCAGTACTTGCATAGGTGTGGCGTCACAAGATATCATGCAGCTTTGTCCAGAAGATAAGGAAGCAGTTGTATGGGAAGAGCTATGCCAATTGCGCTACTCGAACCAAAGTTTCTTAGGCCACTTGGATGTCTCAGGAAACATTCCCCTAGATAATAAAAAGAATGTTGAAAATCCAGAGCAGTTTAGAGTGGTAGTCAATGAAACTTTGAGTAACCTTACCGAGCAGGCAGCTTTTAATGCTTCGGAAGATATGTATGCTACTGGGGAAGTAGTCTTCACCAATATTGACACACTCTATGCCTTGGTGCAATGCTCAACAGACTTATCTCCGGATGACTGTAGCACTTGCCTTCGGGTTGCCATAGCAAATATTTCGAGTTGCTGTTATGCTTCTCGTGGAGGACGGGTTCTTAGCCGCAGTTGCTATCTAAGGTATGAGTTATACGCCTTCTATGAAGGTGCAAACGAATCTGCAGAAAGTCCGGTTGCAGGAAAAAGTAAGTATTTCTGTCAATTACGTCATCGGAAATAGCTGGTATACTTTTTGTTTTTACACTGAAGAATTACACTTTTTGTGCTAAAAACTATTTTTTTTTCCAACTGAAGGCAACCGGAGAAAAATATGGATGATTATCATCTTTACAGTTGCATCAGCACTTCTTGTGGCAGTAATCCTGGGCTCCTTCATATACTGTCTTGCGATGAAAAAAGGTATTCAAAAATGTAAGAATGCTTCTTGTAGAAATCATTGACATTGTATTTTTTATTTATTTTCATTTTAATACCAATTGACAAATGAATCTTGTTATACAGGGACGAAAGAAAATACAAGACAAGATGGTAAATGTCATGGGATTGGTCACTCCGACCTCAATGATTTCCAGATAAGAGGTTTTCATAGAGATGACCTTATTGATCGGGAATCTCCATTTATGGATTTAGCATCCATATATGCAGCTACTGATGACTTTTCTGACTCAAATTTGCTTGGACAAGGTGGTTTTGGCCCTGTTTATAAGGTAAAAGAAATATATTTCCTAGATTTCCAGGTTCAAATTTACATTTCGTCGTATAGAGAATAAATAAACAGAGGTTTTACTAATTTCTTGATTTATATTTTCGAAGGGCATACTGAGTGATGGAAAGGAAGTAGCAGTGAAGAGACTTTCAGCTTGGTCTGAGCAAGGCACTAACGAGTTTACAAATGAAGTTATTCTAATCATGAAACTTCAGCACAAAAATCTTGTGAAGCTTCTCGGTTTTTGCGTTGATGGAATGGAAAAGCTTCTGGTGTATGAATTCATGCCTAACAGCAGCCTCGACGTTTTCCTCTTCGGTTAGTTTTCTTTAATGTTTTCCATCAGAAATTTCTATTCATGGATGTTTAGAAACAATTTTCTGATTTTTTTTTCAATTACTGAATATGAAGGTAGAACTAGCTAATTCATATCCACCGATTTCGATTTAATTGTAGATCCAAAGAAACGTGCACAGCTCGATTGGCGAACACGAATTGGTATTATAAATGGAATTGCAAAGGGAACTCTTTATCTGCATGAGGATTCTAGGCATAGAATCATTCATCGAGACCTGAAAGCTAGCAATATCTTGCTGGACAAGGATATGAACCCGAAAATTTCTGACTTTGGAATGGCAAAGATGTTTGCAAGCAGCGAAGGCGATGCAAATACTGCTAGGATAGTTGGAACATAGTACGTGCTGTTACTCTGATTTTTTTTTTTTTTTTTTAGTTTCTGGGAACACATGGGATCTGTTTGATACATATACTCGTTGTTTTTACGATTTACTTATCATTCCTGAACTTTTCTTTTCCTCTTTTGTGGAATAGTGGATACATGGCACCAGAGTATGCAATGGAGGGACATTACTCAACCAAATCTGATGTTTTTAGTTTTGGTGTTCTTCTGCTTGAGATCATAACTGGAAGAAAGAATTCCGGATTCCACAAATCAAAACGTGCTCCTAGCCTCATAGCTTATGAGAGTTTATTTGGCGTAAAATACAATTATTTTTTCTGACACTGATAAAACTGTTTCAGTAAGTAAACCTCTAAATTATGAATCAGGCATGGCAATTATGGAATGAAGAAAATGAACTAGAGTTGATGGATCCTCCGATTGTTGATTCATGCTGTCCGGATGAATTTTCAAGATACATGCATATCGGTTTATTATGCGTTCAAGAAGATCCTTGCGAAAGGCCTACCATGTCATCTGTTGTTTTAACGCTGACAAGTGAAAGTTCAACTCTTCCCCAGCCTGAACGACCGGCATTTTCTGTAGGGAGATTCACTGACCACTGTGAGGCCAATGCTAGCAATTTTTCTGTCAATGGTTTAACAGATTCTGATATTTCGCCCCGGTGATGAAGCTGATCAATGAGGTGTAAATAATTCTGACATTCACTGAAGCCTGTCCTGCACTGTATTTTAAGGTGTTAGCCGGTTGGGTATTTTGCATGTTTTATTTACCTGGAGCATATATTGCTCAATCAATTCTAGAGGACAATCCCTCACCACCCTCTTGTTCTGTAAATATGAATGCTTTCTACTCCAGTGTCTATCTTGAACATTTAAACAAGAAAAACTTGCAACGTTTCCTCTTGATCTGCCAAAAAGATCATCGAGATTTTTTCTTGATGAATGAATAAAAATTTGATAATCGAAGTAACTGAATTACAGAGAATTTGTAACAAAAGCAGTATTTTAGCTGCTGGGAACTACAACAAGATAACTTTAAACTTCATTTACAAGATTCCAATGTTGAAAAAGTAAACTGCAGTTAGGATCTTGCAAAGCGTCAAGCATCCCCCTAGTACTCTTGAATCTTCTTTGTACCACCAGAATAATATTCTTCAGAATATTGTCACTCCTACCTGCTGCAACGTTATGAATCCTTTCATTTTTGTTTTTCTAGACAAAATAAAAATATCAGCACCAAGCAATTCTCAAAAGCGTCCTGCATGTTTAGACAAACATACATGTGAGTTATGGAAAATATCTAAAAAATTATTTTGGGATTTTTCATTGTTTTTTTCAATCCAATTATGATTTAATAGTTTTATATAACTCTAGTATTACATATTAGATTAATATTATTTTGTATAATAATCAACAAAAATATCTAAAACAAAACTAAGAAACATTGGTTGCACACTGGTTTACCCAGGCATTTTATTGAATTTCAGAACTTTTTAGGAGTATTTTATACGTTGTCTTATAATGGTATTTTCGTTAATTTCAATACTTTTGTGGCATTTTGTATACTTCCTTACAAAATGCTGTTCACTAGTGTGAATTGCACTATTCATTACCCTTACAAAAAACTCTTTTATATGCAATATTTTGTAAATATTGCATTTTGATCTCTAATTTTTTTATTTTAAAGTAAAATTTAAAACATGATTATTTTAAAAAATTGATATAATTTAGATAATTAATTTTTAGAATTATATATATATATATATATATATATATATATATATATTTAAATAATTTATCTATGCGGAAGAATCTGAACATGTATAGCATAGAAATTAAAAGAAATTAAGAAAAAAGAAAAATTCAGGTGTTTTATTTGTTTCTTCTTTATATAGTCAAAATTTATCCAAATTATTTTTTTAATAATTTTTGTTTTAATCTATAAATTTTAAATTTATTCAATATATTCCTTGTAAGTGAACTTTTTTTTAATACTTTTTGTTTTATATCACAAACTCTAAATCCACTTAGTGTATTATAATGTATATATAAAAAAACCAAATAATTGGTTTTTATAAAAATCAATATCCAACTATCAAAATACTAAGCATTTACTATTTGTTTATTTATTTAATTTTGGATATTTTAAATCAATTTCTTTCAAATTAAATATATGAAATTATGTTTTGCATAATTACCTAATGATTCAAATATAGTTTTTATTTTAATATTATTTATTTTTTGTGGATAAATATGTAAAAATTATAAAAATCAAATATACATATTTTCAAAAACTACTATTCTCATCAATATTGAATAAAAATAAAAAATATTTTTTTTATTTGTTTATTTTTATGTTAGTTTTTATATTATTTGTTGTTTTATTTTTTTGACGTAATCTTATGAAATATTAAGGTTTATAGATATATTATATTGAATTCTCTTTTTGCTTAAGAATCCAACGATACTCGAAGAATTAATTATTTTTTAAGTAGAAAAATTAGGAAATACATAAAAAAGAAATAGTTAAATATAAAATTTGATTAAAATATTATAATTTTCTTTTTACTTTTTATTTTATATATTTTTATGAACTTAGAACATAAAATAGACTATTAAATTGAAATAATTTCAATAATTTTACTTAATCCAAAGCATAACGCGGATAAAAAAAAAAACTAGTAAATATTATTTAAAAATAATGTTTTTATTTTTGCCTTCTTACCTACAAATCCTAACTTCGTTTTTGTTTTGGATTGAAAGTTGTTGTTAGTTCATATACGTAAGTTCCACATTGATTGACAAAAAAGAAAGTAGATAGCTTATATACCATAATGTCTTTATTTGTGACCTAACAGTTTAGATTTATTCATCAACCAGCCTGTCCTGTTGTTGGATGCGTACATGAACCTTAGTTTCTTGACGCATTCCTGGAAATTGCAACTACGAGGATCGTGACAGAGATTCTTTGAAATTTGCTTCCCGTTTGTCACTGTTGATGTCTTGACAATGATGATAATCCCTAAACCATACGCAAAGCAAGTCAGCAGCTTCTTGCACATGGGCCCCATCATAAGTATAATAAAGATGGGACCAAATGAGACAAAAAAACAAACTAGCTGAAACGAATCTTATAGCTGAACGGGACTTCATTACTTTATACGTTAATAGTTCGGAATGCACCTCAACTGTTTCGTTTGTTTCAATCATATCTTTTATTAAATTTTTTTTATTAATTTCATCTATCTAATATTTTATTGCATCTTAATTTTTTTCCTTTCATCAAATTTTCAGATAATAGCATCAATTTTCATAACAAACACACAAGATATTGACTTATGGTATTTTTTTTTCTAAAAAATCCCAAAATACCTTTTTATTTTTTTGCTTTTTGCTTTCCCTCAACTAAAAACAAAAAAAGAAAAATTTTTATGTATAGCAGGAACAAAAGCAATTTTTTTTTATTTCAAAAATTTATTTCAAATTCAAACCCAAAAAAATTATTTTATAAATTTTTTTTTCATAACATAGAAAGGAATAGAAGCAAACTGCAAAAGACAAAGAAAAGAAAGAGCATTTTGGTTTTTTTTTTTTTTTTAAAAAAACTATATGTCAACATCTTATGTGTCTTAGAAATTGACGTTATCTGAAAATTTCGACGAAAAAACAAAATTTAGATGTAAAATAATAATAAAGAAACGGAATTAATAAAAAAAATTTAATAGACAGATAAGATTAAAACATACGAAATAGTATAATGATATTTTGAAACATTAACCCGTTGCTCTATTTTCAGGCTCAACTTTGAGCCTTTGCTGGTAAGTTGAGCTAAAGAATATGGGTTAGCTTACTACTTTTCTTTTTCGCAGCTCTTGCTTAGGTCAAGCTAAATTAATACTCCACTAATTACTTGATTTTGGGATTTTAAAAGAAAACCTTTGACTAAAATATTTATGAGATTACATAATCCTAATAAGAATTGAGAATTCAAAATCATGGATCAGGTCAACGTTCAAGAAAGAATTGCTCTTAAAAAAAATAAAAGAAAAAATTAGTCCTTATAAGAGAAGTATAATAATTTAATTGTCACTTCAATTTTTCAAACTAATAAACAAATATTTTGTTAACAAAGTCCTTTTTGAATAGTCTATTATAATTAATATTGGGGCTGCATCCAATGGTTTTATCCATATAGTCTTTTTTTTTTTTAAATCAGATTCCGAGATTAGTCATTTAACCCAATATTTTACATGATCGTTTTTCTCGTGTGGAAGAAGTCACAAAAAGCGGAGGTTGGTCTTCAAAAATGTTCTGTTATAAAATGATATCTTGGGCATCTCCAAAATCAAAATAAATCAAGTTGAATACAGTCATACAGATGGTTGTATCAAATTACACGAGGGAAGAGCTTCTGCAAGTGGAGTTTTGAGAGACAATTCTAGTTCTTAGATTGAGGGTTTTGCTTAAAATATTGGTAGTTGTTCTATTACAAGAGCTGAATTATGAACTATTTATACTAGATTATAGATGGTTTGGAATATGGACTTAGGAAGATAAAATTAGAATTTGATTATAAAGCTACTATTGATTTAATTCAGAACCATTCTAAGTGTTTGATATAGGCAATGCTCAACTAATCAGGACAATTCAATTACTCCTTCAATTACCTTAGCAGATACAAACTACTCCTGTTTTTAGAGATGCTAATTGACAAATCATGCTCTCTCTTTGACTCTTAGCTATCATTATTTTTTAACTATTCATTATAGTTGTTTTCATATTATTTTAGAGGATGTGTATGAGATTAGTTTTTCTTAGCTTTGTTTTAACTAGTTTGTTTTGGAGTTTTTCTGAAAACTCTTCTTTCCAAAAAAAAAAAAAAAAAAAAAGGTCTTTTTCCAGGTAAAATTCAGGACTAATCTTTTCGATATGAGAATGGTCATGCAAGAAACCTTAATAATCATATCTTCTATATAATTACTTCACCACATTAATCCAACCACTGACTTCTTATAGCAAATTATGTGATCTATTTCGTGTTAAATTATATATATATATAAGGATTAGTATTTTGTTTATCAAATTTATTGAAAATGATAGAACAACTTTTATAATCAATTTATTGAAAAAAAAAAGTATAGGATTGATTTTTTTAGGACAGAAAGAGTAATAGTTTTGATGGATAATTGCCCAAACAAAAGCAATAGGTCCGTGCTCAACAGGATCTTGGAAAAGGCCCCATGTATTTGAGCATAGAATATAGCAATACAAGTCATACCCCATGTATTTGAACTTAGCAAATAGCAATATAAGCCCGACTAAACAGGATTCATGGAAAAACATTTTTAAAAAAATTTTCATTTGAATACCAATTTTTTCTTGGTCAATCTATTCAGTCAATGCTCAGGCTTGCAATTTTTAATGGACAAGGTAAAATGTATTCCGATTGATGACTCCAGTTATTCTCGATCCCCATGATCACCGGTACATCTTTAACGGCCAATTACTCGTAGTAGTTTCCAGTCAATTTCTCAGCCTCAGCTTGGAACTTTCTTTGTGTTTGTTCAATGATTAAACCAAATTGAAGCTAGTGGCTATAGGCCTACTCGCGACGATGAAATGTCCTGCTACAATCTTTGATCCATCTTAATCCCAGCCTTTTTTGTTTTGTGGCTCAATTTGTTAAATGTGCTCCAAAATGATCAGGAAGACAACCATAGATGCACCATTAGTGATATTTTTATTGATCATACCGTTTCCAGTTCTCTCTACCCTTACTGTTGCAGAACATCTTGATACATATTGCTCCAACAATACAGGTAACTACACTCTCAACAGTCCATTTGAGAACAACCTCAAGCTTCTACTTCAAACTTTGCCGTCCATCACTTCATTAACAGGCTTTAACTACACCTCTGTTGGGGAATTCCCTGCCAAGGTCTATGGCCAAGCACTTTGCAGAGGTGATGTCAACTCAAGTGCTTGTCAGGCTTGTGTGGAGAAGGCAAGCCAGGAAATCTTTGATGATTGCGCAAGTTTTAAAGACGCAATCATATGGTATGAACTTTGCCAAGTCCACTACTCCTTTCAGAATATGACTTCCCTTTATGTTTATACAGGGAAGTATCCAGACTGGGATTCTCAGGAGAATTTTGTATCAGATCCTGTTCATTTTTCTGATGTTCTAATGTACTTAATGACAAACCTCTCAAATGAGGCCGCTTTCAATCCTTCCAAGCTCATGTTTGCAACCGGGGAAATCAAATTTAGAAGAGAAACTGTATATGGTCATTCACAGTGCACACGGGATATCATAGCAGATGACTGTCAAACATGTTTGAAAACTGCTTTAGCTGAACTTGAAGGATGCTGTTCTTCGCGGCAAGGTGGAATTATTGTTAGCAGGAACTGCAATGTGAGATTTGAGCTCTACAAATATTACAATGCATCGAGTTACTTATTAACATACCCAAATCCTAAAGGTTAGTTAAAATGGGCTTTTTTTTTTTTTTTTTTTTGCTGAAAATCTGGGAGCAAACAGAAGTTATCGTACTTTGCATCAATGACTGATGTGGTTACGATAATTCTTGCCCATGAGGGATAATCTACAGCTCCAAATTGTCTGGAATCTTAGCAGTCTATTAGTTTTGGAGATTAAATATTTGTCTTAAAAATTGGAGCTTATGCAATTCTCCGCTTTGCAAGGCAGGAAGTAATTGGAAGGTTGGGATAGTGGCCTTTGTTGTGTGTACACCAATAGTGGTGCTTGTAATTGTCATTGGATTTTGCATCGTCTGGAAGCTGCAAAAAAGAAGACAACAAAGAGGTAAATTAACTAAGAGAATGAATTGTATAGGCTAAATTGATATCAGATTTACTAAGGATTAAAACTCCAATTATTCAGATGTGGAAAGAAGTCACCGAGCATTATTACAGGAATTGGCAAGCCCAAGAGGGGTCACAATGACAGAAGAAGGTCAGTTGGTAAGTTCCGAGGACCTGCCTCTTATGGACTTAACGACTATCAGAGCAGCTACAGACAACTTCTCCGATTCAAACAAGCTTGGACAAGGTGGGTTTGGCACTGTTTATAAGGTAAGTAGTAAATGGGCTTTGCTGTCACAATCCACTGAAATTCAGCTCTGTCTCTTCAATCCGTCCTCTAAAACCAGTTTTTTATTCAGTTTGTCATGTCTTAATATTGCTTCTGTTGACAAAATCTACCTCATGGAAAATTTGTTTCAGGGTGTGTTAACAGATGGGAAAGAAATAGCTGTTAAAAGGTTGTCAAGAAAGTCATGGCAAGGCTTAGAGGAGTTCAAGAATGAAGTCATACTGATTGCAAAGCTTCAACACCGAAACCTTGTGAGGCTATTGGGATGTGGCATAGGAGAGGAAAAACTGCTCATATATGAGTTCATGCCAAACAAAAGCCTTGATATCTTTATCTTTGGTCTGTCCCATGAACTTCTTTTGTTTTTCAATTCTTAAGTTTTTCTTTTTTTCAACAATTAAATGATGAAACAGGCTGAAGTTTCTTGTAATTCAACTTTCAGACGACGAAAGACGTGCACAGCTTGATTGGGAGACATGTTACAACATAATCGGCAGCATTGCTAGAGGACTGCTTTATCTACACGAGGATTCCCGGCTCAGAATCATTCACAGGGATTTAAAACCCAGCAATGTGCTACTGGACCATGAAATGGTTGCCAAGATTTCAGATTTTGGCATGGCTAGAATTTTCGGCGAAAACCAGAACAAAGCCAACACTAGAAGAGTAGTAGGAACATTGTAAGTCCTCTTTCTTAACTTGAATTTTTTTTTCCTTGTTTGGTGATGATATTAGTCGTAAATTCTTGTAACTTACGGTAATGCTTGCGAGCCAAACAGCGGCTATATGGCTTCAGAGTACGCCATGGAAGGACTATTCTCAGTGAAATCAGATGTTTTCAGCTTCGGTGTCATCGTGCTTGAGATCTTAAGTGGGAAACGAAGCAGTGGCTTTTACCATACAGAAAATGGCCAGACACTTTTAGCATACGTTTGTACAATACATCCCTACCATTGAAGTTTCCCTTCAATAATTTTCAATTAAAAAAAAAATTGCAGCTGAAAGCTATAACTAGGTAATGTTATGACTTTTTTTTTTTTAATGCAAATTGACAATTTGACAGGCATGGAGATTGTGGAACGAAGAGAGAGAATTGGAATTCGTGGATCCTTTGTTGATGGAAAGAAGCCCAACGGCAGGAATTGTAAGGTGCATACATATTGGGCTTTTATGTGTGCAGGAAGATCCAGCAGACAGGCCCACAATGTCGTTTGTGGTTTCAGCGTTGGGAAGTGACCCAATAGCTCTTCCTCAACCGAAACAACCTGCATTTTCCCTGCGTAAAATGGTTCCAGTTGACAAGTCTTCATCAAAAGATCCTTCTGCGAATCAAATGACTGTTTCTGGTATCTCACCCCGGTGATCGTTAATTAGATTGCCACTGTCCTTGTTAATTTGCCTTGAAATTGTATATAATAACATTATTCCTAACAATATTTTCTTCTTTACAAAACCTTGTAAATTAACTTTAGTGGACAAAATTTCAGATCATGTCCTAATCGCTTCGCCACTTTCTCTGTTTGTTTCTCCATCATAATCTATCTGTATTTAAAACTCACTTTTTTATCCGTGCGCGTGCTTATGAAGATAAACCAGGTTGTTTTTGAAGTAATTATGAACTAAATTCAGCATAAACCTAGTTATATCTTGAATCCGACATGGAAGATGAGGAAACTGCAACAACCTCGATCACTATCTTTATAATACTACATGTTTGGCGAAGCCATATATTTTAGCATTTATTAACAAATTCATCCACACTGGCTCACGTAATAGCTTAACGATAATAGAGTTGTTTTAATTTTTTTTTAATTTAACCAACACTCAATTCAATTCTTACTATTCAGGAATAACTAATTATAATTAATTTTTAATAGTATCAGATTGAGACTCATTTGGTTTAAAAAAATTTTAATAGTCGACTAAATACTAAGTGTATTCTGACCATAGCTTAATTTAAAAAATAATAGACTTAATCTCTATTAATGTAAAAACTGAATGAAATATACCCCACTATTGTATATATATATATATATATATATATATATATATAAAATCAACTTTTAGCATAGTACTTATACCCTTTCTAGTTAAAGGCGATATTCTTGATTTTTTATTTTTTTTATTTTACCCCTGTACAAATTTCTTTATGGATTTTACCATTCTACATCCAAGTTCTATTATATTGTGAGTCGCAAGTCAAAAATCTATGCATAGAGGCATGAAAACATTACATGTAAAAATTTAACAAATTATCAAAAAGAAAACACAAAGTAAAAGCCCAAATTAAAGAAATTAAAATTATAGGAATAAAGTGTGTATACTTGGCCCATATTTTAATTTTATTTCTTTAACACTATTAATTAGTTAATTATTTCATTTCTAATTTACAAAATTCAAGTTTTTCCAATTAGAGGAAAAAAGATACTTTGCCTAATAATTTTAATTCAACCCTTTAATTTTTATTAAACCTATGATTTTATAAAAATCAGAGGAAAAAAAAGTTAATAATTTAGTGATTTTAATTTTATTTTTTTAATATCTTGAACATTTCTAATTTTGGAAAACCCAAGTTATTCTGTAATTTAAATCTAATATTACAAATTGGGTTTTTTTTTTAAAAAAAAAATTTCCACTAGTAATTCTCTAATTTCCCAATACATATATAATTGACTCGCGACACATATGTAATGGAATTGAATAGAAAGAGCGAAAGCTTTAAAGGAACTAAAAGTACAAGAATAGAATCCATATAAAAATTTATTCAGGGTTAAAACCAACAGAAAATCAAAAGTACGAGGACTCTTTTTTAACTAGAGTACCTTGACTTCATCTCAGTATCATGTCAATTTTAGTAACCTTCTTTTTCCACGAGGACAATTTTTTTATCCATATATCAATTTTGATGTTTCATATCTTCTCACACTTAAAACATATCAAATTCTTATATTGTTACTATTATCTCTTGCCATCATCACTAATGTTCGAACCTCGCTCCTTAAACCAACCTCTTGTTACTAGTGAATCTCCTTATTTATCACTAAAATTGTCGTAACTCATTTTTTACCCTTCGTTTATTTTTACATAAAAAAAAAAAAGAATGTTGCATTTTTTTGTCTTTTTCATGATCTTTAGGCACTTTTATAAATTTTTAGGATTTTAATTTCTTAGAATTATTCTTCATTTTTAATTAAAAAAAAAAAAGAACAAAATAAAATTGAGAAGATGATTTGGGATCCAATCGAAAATGATGTGAAAAGTAAGAATCAAGTGACATTCAATTAGGGATGTGATTGAAAATGGATAAAAAAATCAAGAAATTTGATTGAAAATCAATCGAGCAAAATTAAAAAAAAAATCAAGAAAATAGGGATTAAACAATTTCAATTAAGGAGTTGATTAGAGATGAATAATAACATACATTGAAATCGAGAAAAATAATTCAAAGAAGGACCTAAATTGGTTTTATCCTCAATCCCTAAAAATCTCCTATATAAAGACTTTTTTCCTTCGTTTTTAGGGAGGCCTTCGCAATTTCGGGAAAAAAATAAATTGCTGAAAAAAAACAAAGGGAATAAAATATATTTATCTTTGGGAAACATTAGGAGACCAAAATAGAACATAATATAAATTCATATACAAAATTAAAATAAATTGCTGAAAAAAAAAACAAAAGAAAAAAAATCTTTTGAGAACACTAAGATCGAAATAAAACATGATGTAAAATTCATATATAAACACCTTAAAAACATCAAAAAATCACGAAAATACGAATATATGAGTAAAATGAACAGTGCACACGAGTCTTTAGGTGAGTAGTGTCATGAATATTGAAACCTTCGAATCTTTTTTTTTTCTTTTTTTAAAATATCCCTTTTGTTTCTTTATTTGAAATTAAGCTTATATATTAAGTTCAGTAAAAAGGAGAAGGCCAATACTGGATTGGGCAAGAAATGGGAAAGGTCTGAGTGGCTACATTTGGCTTTCGTGGAAAGTGCCCACAAACCTCTTAGCTATTGGACGTTGTCGTTGAAAATGCACACAAAACTTTTAGCTTTTGGGCATTCTCGTGCAAAATGCACCTATGAACACATAGATATTGGAGGGGTCAAGTATGAAAACAAATGAAATCCGTATTCTGAATGATGATTCCATGTTATTCTAGATTCTCATGAGCACAACTTTGATGATTCCTATTACCTCCCATGGTTCAACTCTCCTGTCAATTTAGCAGCTTCAGCTTGGAACTTTCTTTGTAATTGTGCAACTATGAAACCAAATGAAAGCTAGTGGCTAGAGGCTGATTTCAAAAATGAAATGTTCTGCAGCAATTTTTTTTTGTAATTTGCTAAATTTTCCCAAATGATCAGAATGCCAACCATAGATGCACCTTTGGTCATGTTTTTTTTTATCATACCTTTTTTATTTCTCCCTAACCTTACTGTTGCTGACCATCTTGATATATTTTGCTCCAGTAACACAAGTAACTACACTATCAACAGTCCATTCGAGAATAACCTCAAGCTTCTTCTTCAGCTTTTGCCTTCTAACACTTCATTAACAGGCTTCAACTACACCTCTGTTGGAGAAAGCCCTGCCAAGGTCTATGGCCAAGCACTTTGCAGAGGAGATGTCAACTCAAGTGCTTGTCAGGCTTGTGTGGAGAAGGCAATCCAAGAAATCTTTAATGTTTGCAGAAGTTTTAGAGAGGCAATCATATGGTCTGAACTTTGTCAAGTTCACGACTCATTTCAGAATATGACTTCCTTGTTTGTTTATACAGGAAAGTATCCAGACGGGGATTCTCGGGAGAAATTTGTATCAAATCCTGTTCAATTCTACGATGAAGTAACGGACTTAATGACTAAACTGTCAAATGAGGCTGTATTTAATCCTTCCAACCTCATGTTTGCAACTGGGGAAATCAAGCTTTCAAGGAGCGAAACCATATACGGTCATGTACAGTGCACACGGGGTATCGGAGCAGATGACTGTCAGAAATGTTTGGAGTCTGCTATAATTGATCTGAAAGGATGCTATTCTTCACGGAAAGGAGGAATAGTTCTTAGTAGGACTTGTAATGTGAGATTTGAGTTGTACCAATTTTACGAAGCGTCAAGTTACTTCTTGACATACCCAAGTTCCAGAGGTAAGTGAACAGAATTTTTACTTGAAGTTAGCTAGTAAAAGAGAATTTTATGTCTTTGCTATATTTCTGTAAGAAAGCATCGTACTTCTAGTTTGTACTATTAGAAATTAAACCTTATTCGAGGGCAAATTGGGACTGCATACTATTTCATCTTTGCAAAACAGGGAGAAAATGGAAGATGTGGAAGGTTGCAAGTGTTGTCTTTATAAGTGTAATGGGGCTTGCAACTGTCGTTGGATCTTCCATTGTCTCTGTAAAACTAAAAAGAAGAAAAGAAAGAGGTAACCTGAGTAAGTTATCAGCCATTTTGTACATGCTAAATTGACATAAGAATCATTATAGGAAAGAACTAACATTCTTATTCTTTGGTAGACTTGGAAAGAAATCACCAATCTTTATTACAAGCATCGGCAAGCGCAGGAGGGGTCACAATGGCAGAAGTAGGTCAGTTGGTAATTTCTATGGACCTACCTTTCATGGACTTAACTATTATCAGAGCAGCTACCGACAACTTTTCCGATTCAAATAAGCTTGGACAAGGTGGGTTTGGCACCGTTTATAAGGTAAGTGGTGAAGGGGCTTTGCTGTCACAAACCACTGAAATCCGGCTGTCTCTCAAATCCGTCCCTCTAAAACCCAGCTTTTTATTCAGTTTGACATGTCTTAATATTGCTCGAGTTGACAAAATTTACCTCCTTCAAAACTTGTTTCAGGGCGTGTTAACAGATGGGAAAGAAATAGCTGTTAAAAGGTTGTCAAGGAAGTCATGGGAAGGCTCAGAGGAGTTGAAGAATGAAGCCTTACTAATTGCAAAGCTTCAACATCGAAACATTGTAAGGCTATTGGGATGTGGCATGGAAGGAGAGGCAACACTGCTCATATATGAATTCATGCCAAACAAAAGCCTTGAGATACATATCTTTGGTCTGCCACTCTGTCCCATGAATTTTTTTTGTTCTTCAATTCTTAAATTTTTCTTTTTTTTTCAACAATTAAATGATGAAACAGGCTGAAGTTTCTTGTAATTCAATTTCAGATGACGAAAGACGTGCACAGATTGATTGGGAGACATGTTACAACATAATTAGTAGCATCGCTAGAGGACTTCTGTATCTACACGAGGATTCCCGGCTCAGAATCATTCACAGGGATTTAAAACCCAGCAATGTGCTACTGGACCATGAAATGGTTGCCAAGATTTCAGATTTTGGCATGGCTAGAATTTTCGGCGAAAATCAGAGCAAAGCCAACACTAGAAGAATAGCCGGAACATTGTAAGTCCTCTTTCTTACCTTAAATTCTTTTTTTCCTTGTTCGGTAATGATTTTTGTCGTAAATTCTTGTAACTTACGGTGATTCTTGAACGCCAAACAGCGGATATATGGCTCCTGAGTACGCCATGGAAGGACTATTCTCAGTAAAATCAGATGTCTTCAGCTTTGGTGTCATAATGCTTGAGATCTTAAGTGGGAAAAGAAGCAGTGGCTTTTACCTTACAGAAAATGGCCAGACACTTTTAGCATACGTTTGTACAAAACAACCCTACCATTAAAGTTTCCCTTCAATAATTTTCAATAAAAAAGAAAAAAATTGCAGCTGAAAACTATAACTTATGGTAATGTTTTGACATTTTTTTTTTTTTTTTAACGTAAATTGACAATTTGACAGGCATGGAGATTGTGGAACGAAGGGAGAGAATTGAAATTTGTGGATCCTTTGTTGATGGAAAGAAGCCCAACAGCAGGAATTGTGAGGTGCTTACAAATTGGGCTGTTATGTGTGCAGGAAGATCCAGCAGACAGGCCCACAATGTCATTTGTGGTTTCGGCATTGGGAAGTGACCCAAGAGCTCTTCCTCGACCAAAAAAACCTGCATTTTCCCTGCGTAAAATGGTTCCAATGGACAGGTCTTCCTCAATAGATCCTTCTGTGAATGAAATGACTGTTTCTGGTATCTCACCACGGTGATTGTTAATTAGAACGCCACTGCGCTTGTTAATTTGCCTTAATTGTGAATAGAAGACTTGATATTGTGTATAATAAAATTATGTCTAACAATATTTTCTTCTTTACACAACCTTGTAAATTAACTTTAATTGACAAAATTTCAGATCATGTCCTAAATCGCTTCATCACTTTCTCTCTTTGTTTCTCCATCATAATCTATCTCTATTTAAAACTCTTTCTTTTTTTCATCCATGCGCGTGGTTAATATATATATATAATTAACAATACAATATTAAAACAATATCATTTTTACATTTCAAATAACAACAAATTGAGTTGACTATTATACATGATGAAAATTAAGTTATTTGAATCACATTTGCTTCATTTCTAATTATTTAAGATTTAAATTACACGATTTTATATTATGAATCCAAAACTATCAAATTGTAATAAAATGAAAACAAAATTTATCGTTAAACCATAAAAAACAATACAATTACTAAAGTTTCTCCATAAATTTGAATAACAAAATTATTAATTGTAATACAAATCACTTCTCTGACTAATTTCATTTCACCATTAAAATTTTAAAAAATGCTATATAAAATCAAAACTCAAAAAAATATAACTACAGTACTTAAAAAAATAATGATAGAGTGAACTCCAATAATTGTTATCACAAAACCCTTACTTTATTTGTCATAGCAATCCACAGACATCAAGAAAAAGGTCCTTTTTTTTTTTTTTTTTCCGATTCGTTACTGCCTTTGTCTCGACAACTCTGTGCAGAAAGAAAAAAAAAAAAAAAAAGGTACGATTTTCTTTTATTTTTCACCAGACAAAGGATGCAGGAAAGAAATTCTTTGTAAATTAATACTGGTGTGCAACGGAAAAGGACCTATTTAACAAGACACAATGGACATCTAAACCTGGACTAGAAAGACTTTGAAAAATAAGAAAACGTGAACCACAAAAGCAACTCTTTAGTCTGTTAGTCAAACCCACAATTCTTTTTTTTAAAAAAAACAAATGATCAATTTGATGTATCGAGAAAATTTTAAATTAGCCAATCATGTTTTAAAAAATGAATTAGTTAGAGCCTTTTGTTTTAAAAACTAATTATTTAATCTTTTAATTAAGTATCTATTATACTTAATTTAATATTGCTTTATTTCATAAAATAATTTTTTTCTATCAATTCTTTCATATTTTTTGCTTATAATTTCTTTCTTCTATTTTTAAAACAAAAATCAAAATAAATTGAAAAACAAAATACCAAGTTATTAAATATATATATATATATATAGAGAGAGAGAGACTAAATAATTTATTTTTTAAAACAAAAAAGAGTAATTAATTTGTTTCACAAAATGTTTTTCAAAACACTAATTTATAATTTACTCTTCATTTATATATAAATGAGTGGTAGCATTGCTTTGTTTGATGGAATAGTTAATCATAGCTTTTCTATTGTTGTTTGCTTATAAATCTGTCTCTCTCTTGGTGGCACATTTGTTAGAAAAATATTAGTTAAAAAAATAACTTTTTCGAACAAAAAAATACTACACAAAAACTTTCAAATTTTTGTTTTTGAATTTTTTTATATGTCTAATTAAAACGTTCAAAGAGATTTTGATATCTTAATTTTAGCATAATGATTCATTGATTGTTAATAAAGACACACTAGAGCAAAAAAGAAAAAAAAAGAAAAAAAAAAGAACCATAAATATAAAAATGTTTTTCATCTCATTTAGAGGAAAACTATTTCATTTTCATGAAACAAAATATTGAATTTAATTTTTTGATTGACGATTTTGGAATTGATTTATTTAAAAATTAGAAAAAATATTTCTAACCTTTATTCTTTCTTCTCTATCGTGATATTTTTTACTTGCTCTAAAAATCATACGAGATAGTAATTAAAATATTTAATCAGACTTTAATTTTTTCATTTATATTTTTTATTAAAAAGATCAATTTGATATGCTAAAATCAAGGAAAATGTTGCAATTTTTAATTACTTTTTTTTTTTCAATCCTACTATTCACTTCAACAAATTGCAATTTTTCTTACATTATGAAATCTTAAGATGAAATCTAAGTGTCTTTGTTCTCGAAGAATATTTGATTTATGAAGAATAATTTTGGAATCATAATATTTTGGTACAAAGAAAATAAATTTTGGCGTAACATTAACCTTTTCAATACTTGTGATGCCAAATATTTCCAAAACTATAAATAATTCTAAGGGTTTACATAACCCGAAATACATTTTAAAAAAAATAGATTGAATAAAAAAAGGAATTAATATTAGAGAATTAACAAAATAAAAAAAGTTGAACTATGTTTGTTTAATAAAAATATTCGGAAATATATTTAAAGAACAAACTGGGCCAGCCTGAGCCAGGTCCAAGAGATGGGATGCTTGGGTTCAGTGCCTCTGGCCCATGCACGCACTGCTGGGCTAGGTAAGATCCTCTTACGTTGGTTTGACCTATTTTTGGGACTATGAGTGAACTTCTATAAGAGTTCTTTAATTGGTGTTAATGTTAGCTCTCACTACGGCAATGCCATGGCATCTCGATTAAGATGCAAAACTGGCTATCACCTTTTTATTTGTCTTGGTCTTTATTTGGGAGTGAGCCCACAATGAATTTCTACATAGAAAGCTATGATTGTTAAAGCGTAGAAATGACTTCAAAGCTGTAGAGAAAAGCTTCTCTCTTTGGGTGGTTGTATTTGTTTAATGAAATCAAATCTTGTCGGAGCATTCTAGTATACCATTTGTCTGCGTTTAAAATGCCAAAAAGTGTGACAAAGATTATGATTTCTCTTCAGCATAGATTTCTTTGGATTAGTTCTTCTGATGAGAGAAAAGTTTATAAGATAGCTTGGAGCATTATTGAGCGATCCAAACATCATGAAGGATTAGGTTCCAGATCAATTTTTTTTAATGAAAATCATGATTAGATTAAATTAATAAAAAGGTTTCTAGCTGTTAGCTGGTAAGATTACAAAGATGAGATATATAAGTAAGCACAATAGAATTTTTGTGAAGAAAATGAAACTATATCCACGTAATTTGTTTATAATCTCTGTTAAGATTATTTCTGATTAAGGTCTATGTCACTATATTTCCTTTACGAAAGATATGATTAAATGAAATGGAACCCAAAGATTTGATCAAATGATTAGTTGACTTAAAGATACTCTACAAATGCCAAAGCCTAATAAAGACTCTCTTACTCATGCAAGCAATAACATTGGCCAAGTCCAATTTGATTCACTTGACGAGCATAAAAAGAAGAGGCATTAATCTCCAAATGATATGATCATGAGGGGGTGGGGAGGGGGATTCAGAATTATGCAAAATTAAATGGACTACTCCATGAAGAAATTTGAGCTTTACAAAATTCAAATGGGCTGATTTGCATAGAAATGGGTTTTAAAAGGAGTTAAAGCTTGGTATTTGAGTTGAAATTAATGAGCCCACAACATGAATTAAACCTAGATCGAAATGGGATACTTCAATTATTATTTAGGCGAGAGGAATGCATGCTGATTAGGTCTTGGGTTTCCTAATGATGAACAAAGTTGTTGGGTCGAAATCTCCATCAATGGGCTTGAAGACCATCAAATAGGACTTGTGCATCTCATCCATGCTATTGGGCTGAAAGCTTCAAACTTAAAATCCAATCTGGCCAAACTTTCTTATCTTAATGTTTTGGGCCGAGATTGCTAAGTGGCAACTATAGAATCAGTCCACTTCCAAGCCAAAGTCCCCATTATTTTCAAGTCAACAAAATCGAGCTTTGGGGTTGAAATTCTAGATGCTAAATTCAAGGAGTTTTCTTCTAATTTCAAGGAGTCTTATTGAAAACTTTGTTGGATATAATATTTCAAATTGTTAGATTCTATGTAACTTTAATCAACTTTGTTTTTCTAAATTTTCAACACTTATTTATGTAAAAACATCATGTATTTTCGGGTTTAAGATTGAATCAAATCAACTTTTGTGAGAAAATTCATGCCTTAGTTATTTTTATAACTGAATTTTAGAACTTATCAAGAGTCTAATTCGATTATTGTGGCGTTTGAATGACTTATCACTCCCGTTCTATCCTTTTTGGAGTGTGGTGTCCATATCTTTCGAATCCGATTTGGCTTTTTAAGATTTTTTCCTTCTTGTTCTTGGGTTTTCTAGCCATCGAGTTAGGCGTGTTTGCATCGGTTGGTATCAAAGTTTGGCTCTAAATCAAGTTTTTATTTTTTATTTTTTTGTTATCTTTTGTTTTATTTTGTGTCTTTATAGTTTCATTTTAGTCCAAATTAAGTCGGTTCCAATTCAAAAAGAAAAAACAAAAGGATGTCCGATTTTTTTTTCTATCTAGTTGGTCTAAATCGTGTTTGTCACCTTCTTCTCCATTTCTAAAATTTTCTTCTTGTTCCAAATCTAAAAAAAACCATAGCACTATATTGAAAACATCCTAAGGCTACCAAAAAAAGAGTCGTTGAGATATTCCGCCATTGAAAAAAAGAAGAAAAAAAAAGGTTTTAGCAAATCTATATCATTTCATTTGAAATTAGTAGTTTTTTTAAATAAAAAAATCAATTTGGTTGCCTAAATCGGTAGCTAAAAAGTCCAGTGGAGATACCATAGAGTATCGAAGGTACCGAAACAAGACATTCGACCCGCACTAAAGGACATTGTTTGGGCGTGGCAAGAAGAACAACAAAGGCAACAACTACTACTAGATGAGCAACTGGAGCTACGGCTTTCTCATGAATACACAATGCGGGATCTCAACTTAAGATTCAACATAACTGAAATGATCTTGTGGTTAAATTTAGTTTCTAACCTTCTTGGTCTCTTTGTCGAGGATGATTATCATCATCGCAGAGGGTAATGTTTAATGTGATCTATTTCAATGAAAGCTTCGAGTTGTTTGTATGTATTAATTTTCTTTACATGCTCTCCTCTCTTGATCCACCATCCTCAATATGTTTAGATTTTCTACT